TATAACTTCTTCCTTGACCAAGTTGTTGGCGGGGGCGGGGGCGGGGACGGGTTGGACCTGCTTCTCACTTGCTCGTCCCACCCCGCCGGCCCATATTGACAGCTCTAGGCAACGACGCTCTCCAGCCTGGCTTCCTCCATTATGTGCAACTACAAATCTCTGCCCCTTTTTTTTATATTAGGGTTTTCGGAAAAGGAAATTTTTGGCAGCTTTTCTGAGATGGAGGCGCATGAGGCGAATGGGACGGGTTTGGCTGAAGAACCGGACATAACCGTAGATGATCAGATTGGTTTATGGAGGGGATTTAGTGCCAGAAGAATTTGGGTTGTTTGTCGGGTTAGGCGTCTGAGGCGCTCAGAGCTTCGTCAAGTGGGCGGCTGGCGGTGGTAGTGATTGCAGGCGACATAAGGGTGGGTAACTATGCGGTCAATGGTAGCCAGCCGCCGACCAACGACAGTAATTGATTTTATTTATTTATAAAACTAATTTAAATATAAGAATTATTATTTTTATTATACAATTAACATATAATTTGAACTGACAAATATAAGCCACTGATCTAGACAAATCAGTGGCTAAAATTGAATCTCATGAACTCATTCTAAGAAGTGAACATATATAAATGTTTGACATTTACTTGAAATAAGTATTATTTTACTAAACACTTTTAGTTACTAAAAAAGAAAATTCAGTGTGAAATTTTAATATATTTCATTTTTGTTTTTTTTATCATTCAATATTTTTGAAGTTGAATATTCTTGTACAAGAACAAATCATGTATTGCTTAACAAGTAACTAAGTGTATTGAGAAAGTTCAAACAATTGCTGAAACAATAATACTTAAAAATGAACCTCCAGAGAGCGTCCCACTCTCCCTTCGGATCTCTTTCATTAGTGCAGACATTATAAACATTATTCAAGGGTTTACAATGCAGACTCCATCTACACTCTACTTGAATAATAATATGCACTATTACTTATCCGACTACACATCTCTTGTGGTTTTTCACGTTGACTCCCTCAAACTTCGGCAGACTGAACCTTCGATCACTCTGATTGTTTCACTCAACTAATATACAAAAAACTTAGACTCCAAGAATATTACCTCTTGTTCCCAGAATTTACGCACACAAAAACAAAAGATTAAAAGTCGATCTCTACAAGTGTATCGCCGTCTTTTTATCTTGATTCTCATATGGTAAGTCATACTCAAAACTTTGCTGCCAAGTCAGGTTCATATATGGTAAGTCCTTGATTGATCGGTTGACTCTTCTTTTGGAAGGTCAAAATTTGCGGTTGTAACTTGTGCATATGGAAGGTGTGTCTCGATCGCCTTCAATTAGGTCTGGCTTGTTTATGGATTAATTTGTCCAAAAATGTGAGTTATTTATACTTGAGTTAATTGAGTTGAATTCCACTTTAAACAAATTAATCCACATGCTGTCATGTGGGTCCAATTGTCTCCTAGTGGTTGGACATTTTCCACTTACCCCTATAGATTAACCTGTAGGGCCCGAGACCCTCTCATTTTATAGTTTGTTATTTTATTTCTTAAGTTTTAATAAGAGAATTACGAATTTGTCATTTGCCCATATAGAAGCTCAAATACAGAATAAACAAATATGGACATCATCACAATGTATATTCACCCGAGCAAATAAAAATGCACCAACCAAACAGAAATACATCATTCATAATAAAATCATCGTTTGCAGTTCAAAAGAAAACAATGTCAGATTACAAAAATCAGTCTCCATAACCATCCAAAACACAATTCACGTAATAGTAACCTCAAATAGAGCACAATGGTATGAAACAAGAGTGAATGTGCACGTCGAGCCTTCAATGATTCTATTAATGTCGACAAATTCACTAGCATGCATATTTTGCATCAAAACTTTTCCATGGCGAGCAACAATTTCAAGTTCGTACGTAGTTTCATCATACATCAAGAGTGCCCGAACCAAATCCTCACATTCATCCACCACATGTGGCCGCCATAATTGAATTGGAACCGACTACATTTGAAATATGTAATTAATTTAACGTGGTTAAAATAAATTGAATAAATATGGACAACATCAAATTGACAATAATTAAGACGATTACCAAGCGTGCACGTTCAATGTGTGTTTTCTTTATATCGAGAGTAAAATGATGTCGCAGAGGGCGCTCAATAGCATTATCCTGAACCACAGTGACTGGAAAGTCTGTCAAGGTGGTTCGGTCGAACCAAAGATAATACTCAGTCCTTATATCCTCCGGACACAAGAACTGTAGCCACCCGTCATCGAAGTATATCCGCTCATCAGTCCCTCTGATTGTCACCTCATGCGTACGGCCTTCTCTCATGGTTAACGTACATTGAATTGGTACGAAGATCATGTATTGATGAACGAGACCACTCGGGGGTCTCTGTAATGGAGTATAAACATTGGTTACTAAAGGCACAATTAAAAATTAACTAGATTTTATCAAAATTCATTAGTTCTATTATACGTTACCATTATTGGTTTGTGTGGTGCTAGAAATAACCAAAAAAAATCTTGACAAAGGAGTCATCATCTTCGGAAACGAGTCAGCACATGATGATAACACAAAAAATACCCAAAACAACACATTGTAGTTAGGGTAACAATCCAACCATTCAATGGACCTTCAAATTGACCAAATTATGGGTCAATTTGGCCAAACCAAATCGATTATGAAACCTACTTATATATTTCAATATTAAAAATACTTTATTACGATAATTGTAATTAGTCAAAATTCCAAACAATCATATTAAATACTTTTATGACAATATGTTCAATAAATTCATGAATATTTATATATCATTTTATTAATATTTATGTGAACAAAATGATATTGTATTTGACTTTTATTAATGAACGATAAATCTAATGTTTTTAGAATTGGACCATCTCGAACAGATCAACTTATTTCAATGATTTGTTGATTGGAAATGAAACTAATTTATTAATATTTTATTATATATATATTTTTTAATAAATTTATGTAATAAATATTAATTAAATATATTAACGATTTAAAATTTTCAAATATTTAGAATAAGTGATAAATAATTTATAAATCTCAAATTTATTAACTATGTAAATTATTTATATTAAAATAATATTAAAATGAAAAAATTTATTTCAATAAACCGATTTCTAATCTATCTAGTCAAATTGTTCGATTTTTAAAAACAATGGATAAACTATAATTTATTTAAGGCAAAATTGCGGCTAATATCATGACATTTATCGAGATTGCAAATTAATCACAACCCTTTAACTTTTGCATAATATATCACGACCTTCAATTCTTTGCAAAACGATACATGCGCTGCCCCAACTTGTCTGACGTGGCACTCAAAATGCCAACGCACCTGCTGATGTGTATTTAACAGACGATTTTTTTGCATAATTAATCACAACCTTTTAACTTTTGCATAATATATCACGCCCTTAATTTTTTTTGCAAAACGATACATGGTTTAAGAGATGGTTTTTTTTCATCTCATCCCTAGACGAGATGAGGGGGAGAATTTGGAACCCTTGAGGATATATTAGGCTAGAGCTGGAGAGAAAACAGATTATTGAGACTTTTATTTTTTTTTTCATCTCAAAACTCATTCTCTCAACAACTTCCACTTGGTTTTATTTGGATTTGGCTTGGGTTCGAGTTTTGGAGATTGTGGTACTCCATAACGAACACGATTTGGTTTGTAATTCAATTTTATTCTCGACCTGGATTAATAATAATTTCCTTTCATTTGATTATGAAAGTGATTTATTATGTTGAATCTTTTGTTGGGATTGATATCAATATGTGTGGCTAAATCGCTTCGTTAGGGATAGAGGATATTTGTTTTGCTTCGATTGAGATTCGTGTGTACGTGTTTGTTGTTCAATCTATTCGAGTTGTGTTGAATCTAGGGTTAGATGTTTGATCATCATTTTAATCTAGTTAATCAATTTATAGAACCGGAAGGGGAGAAATTGATAGATCTCGGCTCGTTTAGAATAGGCTTGTTCGTTAATAGATTGTCTATATGTTAATTGTTTGATAATTGATCGTTACGAAGAGTTATTGAGAACAAGCCTCTAAACGAGTATGTTATTTGATCTCTTAACCGAGCGGTTGCGTGCTAATTGATTGCTTGAGAACCATAAACGAATATCTCCGACTCCCTAACTCACCAATCATTATTTGAACTCCATTTGGAATTTGAAGTGTGTCTTGCTTTATTTTTATAATTTGTAGTTGATAATCAAAACAAAAAACAATTGAATTAGAGTGTTTCAAATTTGTTTTCTCTTTTCGTGTGACTGAATACACGTGCAAAGTAATTCGACTAACCTTCCTTGAGAGACGACCCGGTGTTTGAATCTTTTCGTGTTCCAAAATCTCCAGCTCTAGCCTAATATATCCATAAGGGTTCCAAAATTTCCCCCTCATCTCGTCCAGGGATGAGATGGAAAAAAAAATCATCTGTTAAATAATAAATACACGTCATACTAGTTGGGGCAACAGATGGAAACGTGTATCATTTTGCAAAAAATTTAAGGACGTGATGTATTATGCAAAAGTTAAAAGGTTGTGATTAATTATGCAAAAACATCGTCTGTTAAATACACATCAGCAGGTGCGTTGGCATTTTGAGTGTCACGTCAGACAAGTTGAAGCAGCACATGTATCGTTTTGCAAAGAATTGAAGGTCGCGATATATTATGCAAAAGTTAAAAGGTTGTGATTAATTTGCAATCTCGATAAAAGTCATGATATTAGCCACAATTTTGCCTTTATTTAATTTATAATATAATTGTAATATTGTTTTGGTTAGTATTGATGGTGGAAGGGCAATTTCAACTTCTCACCGCACGTTCTACACATGCCAATCCCTCGTACCCATCCACACCAAATTTTCTACTTCCACACCGATCAATTCACTCGCCTTCCATCGGTCCATCGGGAACGCTTACTCCGGCAGCAAAATGGCTACTCCTGCTTCAACCAGCGGCGGCGGCGGCTCTCCGAGGACTGCTTCGGACGACAACGATGCCGGTGAATCTGCACGCCGCAGTCGAATCCTATCGAGCAAGCTCTACTTCGACGTGCCTACTTATAAGGTTGACCTGCACTGTACTTCGCGCCGATGTTTTAGTTGAGTTCTGTTCGTGAATTCTTTTACTTTTCAGTTAATTTACCTCGCTTTTGATAATGTCTGTAGGTTCCTCTGATTTATTCATCTTCATACGATATCGCTTTTCTGGGTATTGAAAAGCTGTAAGTGAACTCCTTCGCTTCCTTAGTTGTATAGCTGTTTGATTCCCGTCGTAGAACTTTTAATGATTATCTTAGCTTGGTATAAGTAATTCCTGCTGTAGCTTAGTACTATGTGGTTGGTTTCTCTGTAACTCAACAAAACTATGTGTTCAAATTGTTAAATGAATAAGTCATTTGTTTGGACAATTGTTTTTTAGTTCATGTAGATTTTTTCCAGAGTACTTGGCATTAATTCTTGAAAGAAAATTTGTAAAAGAATCTTTATTTGGGATTTTGAGCTCATAATCAGAAGTCTGATTCTAAGCGGCGAGAGGCTTAGTTGCTTGTTTACCTGTGATAAATCATGTACGGTTAAAATTTCAGGCACCCTTTTGATTCTTCTAAATGGGGTCGCATTTGCCGATTTCTCATTGCTGAGGGTCTTCTGGACAAAAAGTACATAATTGAACCTCTGGAGGCTAAAAAGGAAGATCTCCTAGTGGTATCAATCTTTTGTTCATGACGTGGTCTTTGTTTTGTTCCTTTTGCCTAAGGACCTTCTGAGTTAATGAACTACATAGTTATAATTTTTATTTAGTTTTTTCTGGGTTTTTTAGATGTGATGTTTCACTACAAACCAGCTGTTAAGACCTAACTCTAGTATAGCAGTATCGGTTATCAGTTGCTCCCTACTCCTACGTGGAGGCTGACAGGGTTGTTTGTATAATCCGTGCTAGAAGTTCCCAAACTGATTTGCTTGGATGTTTAAAAAAAATTAGGTTCAAGTCTTCTCGGTAGTGCTATGTTACATTAGGGTAAAAAAGACTATGTTCACCCCATAGGTTCTAAAAATAATAATGCTGCCATGCTCCTTCAGATGTTGCAGCAATTCATGATGCAAAGTTAACATTTTGGACCTTCCATACAGGTTTTTGAAAAATTGAGTCTACTTGACTTCTTGAACTACTCTTGTTACACTATTTAGTGTGTAATCGTCATGGATTTAGCCATATTTAAAGGGAATACAAGGAATTAGGAGAAAATATTATTGGTTTTTTTATTTGATGCATTTTGAAGTATTGGTCCCTTAAGTGCTAATTTAGTTTATTATGTGCTCACTTGTTTCTTGTTGCACACGCTTAATAGTGTCCGTTTGGTTGCCAAATTTCATGTTTTGTACTTGATGGTAGGTGCATTCAGAGACATACCTGGGCAGTTTAAAGAGCAGCTTTAATGTGGCCACGATAGTTGAGGTATGTATCTGAGTTTTCTCCAAATATTTTAAGTTGAAAAGATGAACATTTTCTTCGAGTTTCCTTTGTAATTTTATCAATCAATCTGTTACGTCACGTTGGAATATTTAATTTCCGAACAATCACTTTTGGTTGCATTTAGGTCCCTCCAGTTGCTTTAGTGCCGAACTGTCTTGTGGATAAGCATGTTCTCTACCCATTCCGCAAGCAAGTTAAGTCGAAAGATGTGAATCTTTATTTATGGTTTTCTTTGGGATCATTTTGCTAATACTGCACCTGTTGCAGGTTGGGGGCTCAATTTTGGCTGCCAAACTTGCAAAGGAACGAGGATGGGCTATCAATGTTGGTGGTGGATTTCATCATTGCTCAGCAGAAAAAGGAGGAGGATTTTGTGTTTACGCGGGCATATCTCTCTGCATTCACTTTGCCTTTACCCGTTTGAATATTTCAAGGTATTTAAGGATGCAATACATTTTTTGGGGACATTGATCTAAGTTGAACCTTAAAATATGAATCTATGATTTATTTCTTCATGTCCATTGCATATGGAGCTGGAAGAGTCATTGTTGACAATTCTCCTGGCATAGTGCTAATAATGGACTAGATCAAAATGGCTCAATTAAATTCTAGTGCTTCTTCTATTAGTGAAGTTTCTAGAAAAAAAATATATCAAACGACGCAACGCACCTTGGGTCGCTATGGAAACAGCCTCCTTGTATAATTACAAGGGTAAGGTCTGCGTACAACTGACCCCCCAGACCCCAACTTGTTGGGAATATACTGGGTATGTTGATGTGGATGATGTTGATGTATGATTTATTTCTTGTGCTCACCCTTTGTGATATACACGTAGGGTGATGATAATTGATCTCGACGCGCACCAAGGGAACGGCCATGAAAAGGATTTCTCTGATGACAGTACTAAAATTTCCTTTCTTCATAAACTTATCCAGTATTTACACAGTGCAGCCTTTTATGTGGACTCGTCTTTAGTCTTTACGACAATTTGCTATTTATTTTGTTTGTGCAGGAAGAGTCTACATTCTCGACATGTATAATCCAGATATATATCCTTTTGTAAGTTACCTAATATTATTTTAGTATGGGCTTTTCTCTCTATTTGAAATGAAGGGGATGGTGAGAATATAGAAAATAAATCTTCTGCTCATGTACCTTTTACGCTACGACTTATATTCTATCTTTTCAACTGAAACCCTCCAACTGTTTGTTTTCCTTTAGATATCAACAAAAAATAAATGTTCTTTGAGTTGAAACATTTCCACCACTGATTGACTTTGTTTCCTTCATACTTTTGTGAAGGATTACGAGGCTAGGAGATATATCAATCAGAAAGTTGAAGTAGCAGTAAGAACAATATTTTTTTCTTTAACTGTGATAAAGTATTTTCGTTTACTATTTCTAAAGCATTTATTACTTTTTTTCTTTTTGTCCATTTCTCCATCGTACAGAGTGGAACGACCACCACTGAATATCTATCCAGACTTGAGGGTGCACTCAAGGTTAATAATGCCATTATGAGAAAGCTGATCTTATTGGATTGTTCTGAATTATTGTAGATTGTCTATTTTCTGCCTTCCATCAGGATATAAACTAGTTATAATATATATTGAACAATGTAGGTTGCTGCTGATGCATTTTACCCTGAATTGATCATTTACAATGCTGGAACTGACATTTTAGATGGAGATCCTCTGGGTAGGTTGAAGGTAAGCCTTTGATCGACAAACTTACCAATTTATTATTTTATTTCTTTGATCATGAGTATGGTCTCTCTCTCATCATTTCTTTCTCATCTGTAATTTTGGGATTTGAAATTTAATCGTCATATAATTGTGATTTAAAGATAATTTAAGGATAATGCTATGAATATACGGGACCAAAACAGAATGTAGTTTGACCGAGTGATTTGGATATTAGCAATTTAAGATCTTTTTTTTTTTGGTTTGTTTTGAATATGATTGGTGTAGGCTTGTTAGATGGTTCATTTACGTTATGTTATCATACGATTCGCATTTGGTCATACTGTTGCTTGTTATCATTAATCTGAAATGAACAAAAACCTATGTTGTTGGAGACACATGTATCAGTAAAATGATGAAAGTCGTAGTAGGAGTGAAGGTATAGACATCTTACTGTCAATTATGCAAAAAGTAAAAAATAAATAAAAAATTGTACAGATAAGCTCTGATGGGATTGCCAAAAGAGACGAGAAAGTTTTCGTATTTGCTCGTGAGAGGGAAATTCCGCTTGTCATGCTCACATCAGGTTTTATTCTTTTGGTGGAGTTTTTTTTTTTTTTTTT